TGGCCCCGATGGTATGATTGAAGAAGAACTCGTCGAGTTCTTGCTAGACTCAACGCGTTGAGACGGGGATTGGTTCGAGTTAGAGGAATATGGACTCGACGAGTTGGTTAACCAACTCGGCGACTCAGGTCAACTGGATGTTGACTTTGACTGAATTGAGTTGACCCTGGTTTGGGTTGCATGTTCGAATTTCTGATTTAGAAGGGTTTCCATGTAGGGATTGAGGAGTCGAAGGGAGTCGACTTTCACGCCGAGGACATTTCAGACACTGCACGACATCGAGGTGGGTTACCTTCCAGTAGAAGTGGGTCTAAGGCACTAAGGTCGGCCCACTGGTAATTGTTTAGTTGTGATGATTGTCTTTGTGATAATCATCTGGGTTGCTTGTGCTTGTTATATGTGTATGCTAGTATGCTATGTTATGTGAGATAGTATCAGTAGGAGGGGACTAGTCCCCGATTCGGTCGCTAGGACCAATGGGTGGGTCGGACACCCCATATATGTTTGACACCATGATTACGATATGATATTATATGCTAGCGGTAGGGGTGAAATAGTTCCCGTATTCGGTTGAGATAGACCGGAGGGTAGGTCGGCACCCCAGAATAGCCTGACATGGGTAGGTCAGCACCCCATAATGGCTTGACATGGGTAGGTCAGCACCCAGAATGGCTTGACATGGGTAGGTCGGACACCCCAGAATTGCCCGGAAATATGTATGTGGTTTTGGTATGTGGTATGATGGGGGAACTCACTAAGCTTTGTGCTTATAGTTTCAGTTTTGGTTTCAGGTACCTCTTCGTCCAAGGGGAAGGAGCCGACGGTGTAGCAGCGTATCACACACACACACAGAGGATTTCCGCATGGAGTTTCTGGGATTGTATTATGATTTTTATAACTCTTGATATTGTGATTTGAAACGTGACGTTATGGTTCTTATAAGTTGATGTAACTTGACAATGTTTTGGTATACTATTTCATGAGATACTTAATTTAAAAATGAAAATTTTGAACTTGAAAATTGGGACGTTATAGGTGCATTTTTTTTAATCATTATATTCATATAAAGATTTATAATTGTATGCCATGGTTTAGAAACCACACTTTTATGTTTTTAACGTTGATTACTTGATCATTTCATTTCCAACTCATAATCCCACTTGATTACTCATAATTCTACTTGATTATTTCATTTGCAACCCATAATCCCACTTGATTATTTCATTTACAACCCGTAATCCCAAACTCATTCAATTTGCACCTACAAGCATGCAAGTTGTATCCCACGTACTCTTTACACATAGTCACTAAGTTACAAACACAAAGTAAGAAACTCACAAAGTATAACTATTATTATGATAAAGTAAAAATAAATAACTAAGGTAAATTCCTACAAACATGTTTTTAACAACAACAAAAAGAACAAATATAAATTCACTTCTCTAAGTAATATATATTATGTAACCGTAAACGATCCACCAAATGTCATATATAATTGTATATAATAAAAATTTATGATTTATTTTATTGTTTATATAGTAGAATTTATTTGTTTTTTTAAATAATATGTATAATTATATATAATATAAATTACTGATTTATTTTATTGTTTATACACTTGCGGTGCGGTTCGGTTTTGGTGGACCGGTTTCTATATAAAAACCGCACCGCACCAATAAATTCGGTTTTTGTGAAAATAAAATCTGCACCATCGTTTTTTGCATCGGTTTCGATTTTTCGGATGCGTTTTATTGTGGTTTGATCGGTTTTTCTTTGACCGGTTCGGTTTTTGCTCACCCCTAGTAAAAATCGCTTGACGGTAGCTCGACGGTCGACTTGGGTCAAACGATTAATCAGTTTGGCGGGGATTAATCGGAGGATTAATTGGAGACCATAAATTACTAATAAAACTATTTTAAAACTTAATATATCCTAAGAAAAATAGTATTTGAAAATTTAAAATTTTTAAAATTTTAAATTTTGAAATATTTGGTATAATATTTGAAAATTTGAATATTAAAAAATTTAAAATTTGAAGTTTTGTAAATTATGGTGTAATATTTGAAAATTTGAAATTTTAATTTTTTTTAAAATTTCCCGCCAAGGACCGCCGAGGACTGTCTAGCCCGAGTTTGACCGATATTGACCAATTTCCGCCAAACACCCCTAATCGTAATCAGTTGCAGACCGCCTAGCGCCTAGGCGGCCGCTGAGGCCGATATTTACAACACTGATATATATATATATAT